GGCAAAAAAAAAAAAGAATGCAAATAATTCGTACGAAAGAATTTTATAATTAAATAAAATAACATTAATAAATGGTAATTATTATTCACTGAAAAAAATAAAATAAAAAAAAAAAAAAAACTTTGAAGTAAATAAAAAAATATAATTTTTGTTAAAATGATTCATAAATTTTTGCTCAACTTCTATTTGCTATTTGAAAAATTTTCAATGTCAGATAGAAATGAATCAATAAATGTAAAAATAAAATAAAAGAATTTGAAGTGCTTTTGTCTCAAATACTTTTATCCACAATTTGATGGCATATTTGCGCATATTCTATATCTAATATCTCTCTTTGAAACTTTTTCCTTTTTTTTTCTTTCATTTTTATTTTTTGTTTCTTTTTCTTTTTTTTAATTCTTATTGATATTTTTTTTGTTTACATTTTAAAATCTTACATAAATACACAAATGTATTCAAAAAAAAAAATTTTCTATAGTTTCTTTTTTGAAGACAAAAAAAAAAAAAGAAAGAAAATAAAAGTTAATTTTAGAAAATTGAAAAAAAAAAAAGGAAGAAAAAATAAAAAGTTAATTGATTTTTTCTATTCAAAATTCAACTTCAAAACATAATATATAAATGAATGATTTCTCCTTATGATTTGTTCTTTTTTTCTTTTTCTTTTTTTATTTATTTATTTACTTTTTTTTTTGTTTACTTCATTTTTTTTTTGTTTACTTAATAAGAATACACTTCTTCTTATTAACTTTAAAAAGTTAAATAAATCATATTGAAGTTTTTATTTCACACTTTTGTTTCCTTTTTTTACATGCTATAAAATAAAAATTTTATGAGGTATTCCCTAAAAAAAAAAATATGAAATGCCTAATTTAAAACAGATTTTATTCATTTTATTCAGAAATATTTTTCTTGCTTCTAATCAAATGAATTTTAAATTGTTTCAACGAAATATTTGTTTTATATGAATAGATTATATGAGAGTAATATTATTGCTTAGAAAAAAAAAAAAAAGAAGAAAGAATAGAAATAATTTTGAATAAAAATAAGAAGTAAAGAAGAGAAAGATATGGAATTAATAAAATTCATGAAAATTTAAAAAATATTAAAATTATTAAAGTATTCAAATACATTTATTGATTTATGCAATTAGTCATTTAATTAGCAATGATAATAAAAATAAAAATAGAGAAAAAATATTACATAATGTGGAAAAAAAAAGTAGAAAATTATAATTTCAAACTATAAATGATATTAATGATAAACAAATTTAGAGAAGCTAGTTAAAAGCACTAAAAAATTTCCAACATGTGATTGATTGATTGATTGATTAGAATGATAATTTACTGATTATGAAGAAATTTAAAAAAAAAAATATTTTTTAACTTCTCAATTCTTTTCTCTCTCTCTCTCCCTCTCTCTCTCTCTCTTCATAATAATTTCTTATGCTAATAAAAATACTCCCTCTCTCTCTTTCTCTCTTTCTCCCTTTCTATCTATCTTGCCTTTTTCATTTCCTGATAGAAATATTCGAAATATGATAATTAAATTTATTGAAATAGGCTAATAACTATGAAGCAGTTGACATTTTGCTATCTAAGAAAGTTTCAACTTTAATTTTCTCTTCTTCATCATCAAATTTATCATTGAAATTTTATTACTTTTTCCTTTTTTCAATTCAATTTACTATGTATTGAAACTAAACAAACAAAAGCAAAAAAAAAAATTAATGAAAAAGAAACACAAAAAATTTTTTATTAATAATTTTGAAAAATAAAAAAAAAATTTTAATTTGTTAAATTACCAATAATAATTTATTAAATTAAAATTAAAAAATAAAAATTATGTGATTTTTTTTTTTTTGCAAAACAGTAAAAAATTTTTGCAGAGCAATACAAAAACATTTATATATTTTCTTCTTTTTTTTTTCCTTTTAACAAAATTCTTATGAAATTTTTGTAATTAAAAGAGAATTTGACATTATGCTATCTAACAAAGTTTCAAGTTTAATTTTATAAATAATAAGTAAATTAATTAAGCAATTAATGATTTAATAAATATTAAAAAAATAAACAAACGAATAAACAAATAAATAAATTTACATTAATAGCATATGGAGATGGAAACCAAAAAGCTATCGCATCATTTATTTTTCATCCCATTTCAAATTAAATTTCAATCTCATTTCAATTTAAAATTTTTAATGCAATGTATATTAGATGAACTGTTTTTAATGATTAATTTGATTAAATTGCTAACAGAAACGGGTTGAAGTGTCATAGCAAAATAATTTTAAAAATATGTGAATAAATAAATATATGTCAAAAGTAAGTGAACAAATGGACAGATAAATAAATAAATAAATAAATAAATAAATAAATAAGTACATATATATAAACTAATCAAGAATAATAAATAAATAAATGTTAACAATAAGCAAACTAATATGTAAGTAAACAAGTAAACAAATAAATAAATGAAAAACAGTTTGCTAAAAGAATTGCATTTATTTGCTACCAAATGTTTAAAAAAATAAATTAATAAGCCACTAAATAGCTTCAGAAAATAAATTAATCAATAAAATCTAAACAAATAAATTACTAAATAACTTAACAAACAAATAAATTAATTAAAGAAATGAATAAGCAAGCAAATAAACCAAACAAATAAATAAGAACAGATTGTTAAAAGGATTGCATAGAAATATCTGTATCAAAATATTTCAAAAAATAAATTAACAAAATAAATAATGAATGAAAAAAGCAAATAAACAACTTAATTTATCTACTAAATTATTAATTAAAAAAATTAATTAATTAATAAAATAAGTGAATAGATAAACAGATGAATAAACAAGTAAACAAATAAATAAATAAATTGACTAATTAAACATTAGTTTTTCACATATATTTTATTTGATAAATTAAATTAAAAGGTAAAAAAAAGAAAATACGGATGTATTTATGATGATATCATTCTTTTTTTTTAATTTACAAATGCAGAAAGAATGAAGAAAAAAGATTTAAAGAAAGAAAGAAGGAAAAGATTTAAAAATTAGAAAAAAAAAATATTTTTTTAAATTTAAGCGAAAAAAAAAAATTGGAGAAAAAACTTTTTTCCATCGCTTATGCAATTGCAAATTTGTAAAAATAAAAGGAAGAAAAAAAGTGAAATTAGAGAGAGAAAAGACAGTTTAAAATTCATTTATCCTTTTCATTTTATTTAATTCACTTTCTCATCTTTCTCTCTCTCTCTCTCTCTCTCTCTCTCTCTCCTTCTTCTTCCCTTTCCTCTTTCTTTTTTATAAATTCTGTACTTCAAAAAATTTTTTTTTCCTTCCTTTTACTTTCATTTTCGTATTTTAAGAATTAATCGTTTATCTTTTCTTTTCTTTTCTTTTTCCCTTTCTTTCTTTCTCTCTCTCTCTCTTTCTTTTCTTTTTTTTTTCACTTTTGTTTGTTTCCTATTTTTTTCCCTCAGATTATTATTTGAGAAAAATAAGCATTATGAATTATTATATCACATTAAAATTCATATATTAGATAGTTATTTGCAATAAAAGAAGAAAGAGGGAAAGAGAGAGAGAGAGAGAGAGGGTGAAAGAAAAAAAGAAAGAAAAAATGTGAAAGTGCTTTTTTTTTTTATAGGTTTTATTTATTTTTGCGAGAGAATTTCTCTTTGAATTTTTATCTTTAAAAAGAAAAACTATTATTATTTAATAAATTATAAGAAAGAAGAAAGAAAAATTTATTAATTTTTTCTTCTCAATTTTTATCATAATATTTGCTTCGATAATAATTTTATTAAATTTATTCAATTAATTAGTATTAAATTGACTAAAGTAAATATATATTAAATCAAAAATTTTAACTTTCAAATCATAAATACTAATTCAAATTTTTTTTTTTTTTTTGCATTATAATTATTATTGTATCATTTATTGTCTTATTGAATTAAATTTATAAATAATTTTTGTGTTATGCATAATTTCTGATTTTATTTTAAATTATTTCATTCCTTACTTTAAAATCTATTGCACATTCTTGCATGTTTGCATTCATTTTAATGTATTTAATTAATACACAAAAAGTTGTAACTTAATTTAGAAACTGTAATATTAAAATGTAAATTGAATAGAATTCGATATTTTTGATTTATTTTTTATTTCCTACTTCGCAATATATCCTTGAAATAAGCTTCATTAATGAATATTATAATTTGCTCATTCTAATCATTTTCATTCTTTTTTTTTTCTTTATTAAATTTCAAGGTCATACCTCTTCAAATTTCAATTTGAATTTAAAACTATTTGTTTTTTTTTTTTTGCTAAAACTGTTTTATTCCAAAAAAAATATGTTAATTCTACTTTATCCAAAAAGCTTTAACTTATTTTTATTGATTTGATTGAATTTTTACTTTTATTATAATCAAACTTATTTTATGTAAAATTTATAAAGTCAAATCATTTTTCTTTTTTTTTTTTTTGGTGTTGATGTAAGAATTTTTTGGATATTCTTTTTTGGAAAAAAAAAAAATTCTTTTTTAATTTTTTGTTGGTATAGTTGTTACTTTCATATATCATCGAGCAAACACAAGAATTGGCGCAATTATCCGGTTATTCAGTTGAAATGCATCTATTTATCAATAATGAATAATGTCATATTGGCTAGTAATATTTATTTCATTTAAGCCTGTCTCTATAATATCTAGCTAGCACATTTAAATTTATTTAAATTTAATTTTCATTTCAATACTTCAAAACATTCAGTATTATATACAGCTAACACAAATATATATCTAATATCATTTTTTACAGTTTTTTTTTTCTTCTTTTATTTAAAACTTTAAATAACAAATATTAAACTATGATAATATTGAAGTAATTAAATTAGCGATCAATTTATCAAACATATTGTAACATATAGTAATAATTCAAATATTTCAAAAATGAAATATTGATTTGTAATATTTCTTAAAAAAAAAAAAGAAAAGTATTGAAAAGATTATCGTTTACTTTCTAATAAATGATGAATTTCTTCTGCACTACGATTACGAGTTTCTGGCATGTAATAATAAATGGAAAATGTTGTAATTATTAGAGGAATGATGAAAATTAGAAAACTAAGTGGTCCAATTAATTCCTCTAATGGTAAATATATTATTGGACACAGGAAACAGGTGATATACTGAGCCGAAATGGACAATGATTGTAGTTGAGCACGACAATATGGCTCGGCTAATTCGGTAGCAATAAACCATGCAACTGGACCAATACCAATACTAAAAAAAAAAAAAAAAATTAAATGAAATTGAAATTTAAAAATACTAAAAAAGCATTTATCGTATGTAATTTTTTAATCATAAATAATAATTAAAAGATAAATGTATTCATTAATTTAACCGAATTTATTGATTTAAAAAGAAAAAAATTAATATTATGATACTAGTATTTAAGATATTATTTTAAATTACAGCGAAAATAATAATAATTAATTTTGAAATTCTAGGATTGTAGTAAGTCAATGCTTTAGGTTACACATAAAAAAAAACAATAATAATAGTAATAATATATTTTATGGTCTAAGACTGGAAATCAATTAATTTGCATCATTTTTATCTTATCTAAATGAATGAAAATAGAAACCTAAAAAAGAATAGGAATAATGCAAAGAGAAGAAGGAAGCAATAGCCAAGCCAAGAGTAATGATATTGGCCAAAGGCCCAAACCAGTACCATCATTCCCATATTTATCAATATTAAACTTATTAAACTTCCAAGAAGTAAAAAACGGCGTCCAATCTAAACGAAAAATAAGGAAAAATATTTTTTTTTTTTATTAATTATTCTAAAATATTTAAGAAAAAAAGAATGAGTAATAATTAGAAATTTTTTAATTATCAATTAATATTATTGAATAATTGAATAATAGTTATTATTTGTTAAAGAAAATGCAAAATTAATTATTGTTTACACAATTTGTACGATTAATTCATTTCATTTATTAATTAAAATTAAAATTAAAATTAAAAAAAAAAAAGAAAAATTTTGAAACTAACTTTATCAATTGTAATAGCTTGTATAAGTATTCCAACGGTACCAGATAGTCCTGCAAGACAATTTGCTAATGACGCAGTAGTTGAGGTGAAACCAATAGCGCCAAGAAGAGCTGTGCCAAAAAATACCATTGCCATTATACCACTAAAACTTACCGTACAATTTAAAAGTATTGAGAGAAATAATGCTCGACGAGTTGCTCTAAAATAAACAAATATAAAATAATGATAATAAAAAAGTAACATTTAATCGAAATAAATATAATTCATCAATTTTAAAATTAAAATTTTTTAAAAAGAAAAAGAAGAAAAATAAAAATCGTCCAATTACGCTATATTTTAATAATATTATTACTATTATTACTTTAGCATATTAAGTATAACTGATAAGATATGATATAAAATATCATTTGTAATATTAAGCACGACTGATAAGATATGATATAAATGTCATTTTTAGTTTTTCATTCCATTTTTTAATTAAAAAAAAAAATTTAAATCCATTCAAATGTTACAATATCATTCTTTTTTTTTTTTTTGTTTATTGCAGCAGAAGATGTTTCTATTTCAAACAAATACAATAATAGCATATGAATGATTAATTTATAATTTTGTCAACAATCAAATAATTTCTGATTAAAGATTAATGATTATAATAAATTAAAAGAAATAACAACCTATCATTGCAAAATTTCATCCAATTAATAATATTTTTGACACTTTTCTTTTCGTTATTATTTTTTTGTTGTATTTTCAATCGTTCCATTTCTTCATCTATTTGACGATCATTTTTCCAATTATTGTAAAATTGAATTGATTCTTTTGCCGCATTTTCATTCATTTGTTTCAGAAAATATAATGGACTTTCATGTAGGATAAAAATTGCATAACAAATAAGCATTAAGCATGGAATCATTTCCATAAAATAGCCATAAGGCCATAAATTTTTAGTGCCAAAAATTTGTGGCATACCAATCATTGATGCTAGCAATGCACCAATATTAGTCGATAGGCCAGTTAATGTGCCCATTAGGCCACGAAAACAAACTGTAATAATTGCAAAAAGTAAAATTTAAAAATGAAAATTGATAAATTAAATAACAAAGATAATATGATATGGTATGAAATAAGATAAAGATTAATATTCAATGATATTAAAATAATAACAAAAATTTGATGTTTAAAAAATATTTTTAGTAATTTTGAAAATTTTGGTAAAACTTTAAGGAATATATATATTGTATTAACAATGAACAAATTATCTCTTTATAATATTTGTTTGAAAATAATTTATACAATATTTAAAATTTTTAAATTTTACGATTAGGATCAAAAAGAAAGCAATATCTTTGATTGATAGACTTTTCCTATTTTTTTTTCTTTTTTTTTTTTTAATAAAGAAGTTTTATTTATTTTGAGATATGCAAAATTATTTTACAACAAATATAATTAGTCGGAAAATAAAATGAAATTCAACATCCAATAGTCGTTGATGATAATATTTTCAGCAATCAAAGAAATATATTTCGTCTTTTGAACTAGAAATTAAATTTTAAACCATAAATTGCTATTTAATTATTACAGATTGGAATATGAAGAAAATAGCTAACAAATTACATAATTGAATGAAATAATATTTAAAATATATTACAAACATATTTCTATATTAAATGATGGATTTTAATAATTAAAATATGTTACAAATAATTTTAATTAAATTACCTGGACTAATTTCAGTTAAGAATACACCTTGTACAGTAGTATACATTCCAACACAAATGCCAACAAACAATCGTGAAAGAATGAATAATTCCGCAATATTTGTATATTGTGATAAGGGTGAAAAGAAAATAGCAATAATCATTAACTGAAATTAATAATTTTATAGCAATAAATTTTTATTAGTAAAAAATTTTAATTGTTTTTTTTTAAAAAAATTTTTTCGTGAAATTTCATTGGTAAAAAATTTTTAATTAAATAAAACAATGCTAATTATATTAAAATTTATGTCACTACCATATCAAAAAGTTATTTTTATTAAAAACTAAAAACTAATTTTTCATGTAATTATAAAAATAAATTAATATAAAATGATTGAAATTAATGAATACTAAAAATGCAATGGTTAAAAATTTAATGTCAAAATTTCCGATCACTAATGCTATTAAATAACTGATAATTAATTATATCAGTGAGTAAATTCCGGAATATCATAAAAGTCAGGAAAATAATATATTTAGAATAATTCATATTTGATCTATAATCTATCCAAAAATTATTGTATAAATTAAAAAGAAAAATTTCGGAATATATTACTTTCCAAGCTTCTTAAAATAGGATATCTGTAACATATTGAATGAATATTTATGTAATCGGTCAGTTTTTTTGTATATTAACAACAAAATATTAACTTTCATTTCCGGCAGCCAGTTCAGTAATTCCGGAATGTGATAAAGATCTAATAGCATATTTTGTTTAATTGCTTATTTTCAGAAATGGTAATAAAAAATGAAAAATAAACTAACAAATGCAATAATCACAAATGACCATCGTGAACCAATGCGATTAATGACCGCTGGTGTTACTGTAGCACCGATAATCGCTCCAATGAAAAAAATGCCAGCGACGAATGACCAAAATAACCGGATTGATAATTCCGAAAATTTGATATCATAACGACTGCAAATGATAATAGATATGATAAAATAATTATGAAAGTATTGAAGTGATTTTTAAATTTTAATAAGTATAATTTGTAGTTTTTTTTTTTAAATTTGATAAGTTTTGATGATGGAATGCATTGTAACTTTAATTTGATAAAAGTGTAATTTGAGAGTAAATTCAATTCCATAAATATTTTGATAAGAAAATTTTGATAAATTTAATAAACATTGGAAAATGATAAGTAATTGATTGGAAAATGATAAGTAATAACACTAACAATTTGATAAGAAAAAAATTAATATTAATTCAACAAATTACAGATAACTAATTTTAAATGGCTTTTAACCAATTTCATTTTGATAGTATCATCTTCAAGTGGTCAACATTTAGAAGCACTTATTTTGACAAGTAAATTTGACAAAAAAAAAATCTTAATTTTCGGAAAATTGTCAAAGTTTTGAGCTTAAACAATAATAGAAAATCTTATTTTATTCATTTAATATTAATTAATATATTATCAATTTCATTTCACAGCAAATTTTACCATATAAAATGAGAAAAACTAATATTAAAAATCAAATAACCTTTCTAAAGATTGTGCCAGAAATTGTTGCAATGGTTTACCCATTGGATTAATGATTGATACTTGAAAACCAAAATTAAATCCACCTCCAAGTACCACAAAAATTCCAGTAATAAGAAGTTTTGCTGTTGGAAAGAGCATTTCTAAAACAAAAAAAATTTTTTTTTTAGCTTCTTTGTTTTATATTTTTGGCAAAAATTTAAATCATTTCGATTATAAAATAAAATATATTTGATATATATTATATTTTATGTGGTATGTGTTATTGCTACTAAAAATTAATAAAATAAAAAACATTTTTAATAAATATCAAACTGCATTATTAATATTTAAACATTTATTAACTACTAAATGCTAACTTGAAATCTTTAAATAACAATTATTTAAAATGCTAAAATTTGAATTATAACAATCACAAAATTATGAATTGGTTAAGTAAATTGAAATAAGAATAAAATTTTAAGTTTATTAAACTGTAATTAGTTTCAAGGCAATGGAACATTGAAGCAGTAATAATTCAACAAATGCTAAGAAGCTATGAATTTAATTTTTTTTTTTTATATATTGAAGTAAAAGTAACAGCTGCAAGTTAAGAAAGTTATTATAGGTATGAAAATTTAAAAATGCTCTATTCATTGTTTTTAGGAATATTATTTATTAAATTGACTGATTTAATCCTCACAATCTGTAAAATCTTTTCAAATTTAATTTCAGTATAATAAGTTCGAATTATTGTAGTTATCTTTTGTTGAAAAAAGAAAAATTGATGACTGCAAAAAAGAATGAATGGAAATGAAAAACTTCATTAATTGAATTGTAGTCAGAAAAAATTAAAATAAATGGAGTGAATAAAATTGGAAGAAAACAAAAAACAAACAAACAAACAAACAAACAAATAAGCTTTTTTAATGTTTATTTGTTTTTGGTTTTTCATTTGATTTAAGGATTAAAATTTTGACAATCTTTAAAATTCTCTCAGCAGAAAATGCAAATAATTTATTGACTTAAAAGCTTAATATATATAAATAAGTTAATTCCACTAAGAGGGATAAATATAAAGCAAAAAATAATGAACTAATTTAAAATTTAAGATTTTCAAGTAGTTTGGGAAAAATGAGATTTTTAAGTAGTTTAAACAAAATCTGCCAATTATTTCGTTAATTTCTTACTTAATTCCTACTATCTCATTTCGAAAAGTTTATTTTTTGAAAGAAGAAGAAAAGATTTACAAATTATGCTGAAAAAAAAATGTTTTAAATTGTTAAACTTAAAAAAGAAATGTGAAAAATTATAGTAATCATTATAGACACACTAATAATTACAACTAGTTGCAATTAATTTTTTCATTTGAGGCAAACGTAAATGTTTGACATGTATTATTTTAAATTAGTTAGACTTTAAAATTTTAAATTTCATTAAAAAAAAAATATTTTTTGTTAATTTGATTATAAAACAAGAATAGTAATTGAATCATGATTAAATTTCCATTAAAATCAAAGTTTTTTTCAAAAAAATATCTAAGAATAATAGTTGAAAGGATGAAATAAAAACAGAAATGATAAGAGATAAATTGATAAATGCATTAAAGGAATGATATTTAGTTAGTGATATATGCATATTTGCATTTTATTAGAATAAATGATTACATTAAGGAGTTAAAAAGAGGAGAAAAATTATGGGAAGATGCTAACATAGATTTGAAGCACTGATAACGTAATATAATATTGATAATACCGTAATCACACACTAAATATTCATCTGAAGAGGGGAAGATTTATGATAACATATAATTTAATTTAATTATATATATATATATATATATATATATCAATAATTTAATTTAATAATTAACAATAATTCATAACAATAATAATAATAATAATAATAATAATAATTCATAACAATAACAATAACAATAATAACAATAATAATAATAATAATAATAATAATAATAATAATAATAATAATAATAATAATAATAATAATAATAATAATAATAATAATAATAATAATAATAATAATAATAATAATAATAATAATCGTTAATTAAGCAGAAATTCGAGTCATATTACCCATACTTTTCCTTCTTTAATACAATCATTATCAGTCAAACATTAAAACTATTACCAACATTTATCAAACGTTTATTTTTTATCAAATGTAATGTAACATTTATCAAACGTTAAAAGAAGCCATTAATTACTAAACTATTACCAACAAAAGAAATATCATAAATTTCGAGAACTGAAATTAAACTATTTTCATCTTATATTTAATCTATTTAAATAACAACTATCCTATCGATATTAATCATCAATCAATCATTTATCGATAAGTTCCCCTTTACTAGCTTAATGATTGACCATATCATTTCACTAACTTTTCTTTCTCATAGTTAAAATTCAAAAAAGCATGATAAGATAAAGCTTAAAATGAAAAGTATAAAATGTCAACTTTATTTTATTCTTAAATGTCTTTTTTTGGTGAGTATGGTTAGTACTCATTTCGCTATAAAAAAGGAAATGAGTGAATAATCAGCCAACTATAAACATAATTTAATATTAAACTGAATATTTTCTCGGATATAAAATGAATTTGCATTGATATCTGACCTTCTTTAGTGCATATCTCAAGAAATTTACTGACAACAAATCAAAATTCAATACTGTGTCTGCGTATATTATTATATCATTGCAATAGTATTATGCTATATGACACTTTTGACCTTAATTTTTTGGATGCATTTTTTTTTTAGTGTGTAAAAGTCCGAATTTTTATCAATCTTTTTACCGGATCACAGTAACAAAGTCACAAATTAACAACAAAAGAAACAAAAAAATTAATAAAATGGTGAGTCAAGAAAAATACCATTTTTCGATTCATTTACCATTCTCGAAATTACGGAATTTTAACTAGTTTTCATCTCAACGCATGGACAAATTGACTTTGAAATGGGTCTCCACAAATTAGAGAACATTTCAGTTTTCTATTTTTACCAAAAAAAAAAACTGATGGACAAAAAATAGGTTTTTAAAATTTCAGTAAGAAATAAGCCGTACACACACCAATCCCGGAATATAAGCCAAACAATAACAACAGATGCATATCATCGAGTAATGGAAAACAAATACATAATGATGAAACATTGCTGAGAGAGTTAGATTACATCACATCCGGTACAACACCACTTTTAAATTCTTTATAAATATTCAACAACCAATTTGGAGTTCGCGGCATAATCTCCTTCAATGCCTGACTGAAAAATTGATGGAATTTTTGAGAAACACTCATAAAATGATTTTTCTACTTATTGCAAGTTAGATTAAAGATTATATCTATATAAAAATCATACGAAAGATCATAAGAATATCATATCTAATTTTATTGAAGAATTTGAAAAGAGCAGATAAAATTACTGAAAATGTCGAAATTCAAGTTTGTTAGCATCTCTATTCTCGAGCAATGCTTCGCGTACGGCTTGATCACATAGCTCAACCACTTCGGCACCAGAGAATCCTTCCGTTCGTTTACTAATATCTTCTACATCCAAATCAATGGTAACTTGCATCTGATTCAGTCGAATACGCAAAATTTCAAGTCTAAAACTACCAAAAAATGAGACATTTCTCTAAGACAGTTTTAATGATAATTTTAACCCTTTTTAACAATCCATCTAAATTTTATGCATTTCAAGTTTTTCTACCATAGTAAATTTTTCAAAATTAAATTCAAACTAATTCCTTCTTCTCTAATTAACCCTCATACACTTAATTAACATTAACCATTACCTAGTCTCCTCGTCTGGCAATGGAACATGAATGGTAAGATTAAATCTGCCTGGTCTGAGTAATGCACTATCCAATCTATCGGGACGATTGGTTGCTGCTAGCACCATAACATCACCTTTCTCTTCCAAGCCATCTAAATATTCACATTTCAATAATTTTTGGGAAGAAAAAAGGAAAAAAAAAGAAAATGCAGAACAACCAGTTAGAAAAAAAACTTACCAAGTTCGGTAAGTAATTGTGTTAGTACACGTTCACCAACATGACTCTCATTTCGATCACCTCGATTTGCACCAACTGCATCAATTTCATCGAAAAAGATAATAGCTGGAGCTACCTGAAAAAAAAAAAAGAAAACATGAATTTAGCACTTTGAATCAGTTTTATTTCTTAAAATCCGGACAAAAATAATATTTACAAATAATAGAAATGTGTCATCAAAATAAAACACTGTTGAAAGATAACACAGCTAATTTAAGGCTAGAGTAAACTAATGCAAATTTTTGTTAAATTTATTTGATATTAAAATAAACAATTACTGATATTGTAACAAACCTGACGAGCTCGCCTAAAAAGCTCTCGTACAGCTCTTTCCGATTCTCCAACCCATTTACTGAACAATTCTGGTCCTTTTACTGCTAAAAAGTTCATACGTGATTGTGATGCAATTGCTCGTGCTATTAAAGTTTTGCTGCAACCGGGTGGTCCATATAATAATATGCCTGATGGAGGTTTTGAAGCAAAACGTTTGAAGATTTCTGGATATCGATATGGCCATAAAATTGCCTAAAAAAATGAAAATTATTAACTATCCATTGGAAATGAGTATTACACTTAACATAAATATTTGAAAACTACATAAACAATTATTCCAAATCATACTTTCAATAAATTATCTCATTTTTTAGCTGTTAAAAGCATTACTGATAATTGCTAAAAAGAAACTGAAAGTAATAATAATTTGATAGTCAAATAATGATAAATAAATGATCTACCTGTTCAATTTTCATCTTTAATTCTCGATTTCCTCCAATGTCTTCCCAGTTGACATCAGGTACTTGAAGCACAAACTGTCGAATACCCGTGGGATGTACACGCTTCAATGCAATATCGAAACGTTGAAATAATTCATTCTCATCGCCAGCAAATTCAAAATTAGCAAAGACACGATGCAAAACTGCTTTCAAATCACCACCTGTATATCCATGACTTTTTCTAGAAATATCAAAGTAAAAACTGACTTTACTAATCTTTTTTTTTAACTAATTAATTACAAATTATTATTATCTTTTTTTTTGCTTCAAAGAGATGAAATAATATAATGATTAGAAGATTTACTGAGCAATATCTTGTATT